GTAAATTTTTCCTGCCGAAGCTGGTCGTAACCCGAAATGTTCGTTAGTAGAGGCGTTCATAACCCGAGGTACCACTGTAATCAATTTCTAAGGCAGCATTTATTGTTTTCTATTATAACTATAAGCTTTGTCTTTTCAATGAAATCCATATTTATAGAACCAATAAAATGTGATACTATAACAATTTACTTATCGACACAGAATGTAGAATTCCCCAATATAAAATAGTTACAGCTGTTTAGATCAGAATATGGACATAAAACTAAGCATGGTGTAATAATTAATTATGAAAATTTGATACTATTTCTTATATTCTGTTAAACATAATAATGAAATACAACTGGACAACCTGTATTGTGAAAAGTTGCTGAAAGTAACAATAATCAGAAAAATAATCTGGATTTACCTCCTGATACCGTGCTATGCCACCATTCACAGCAGCATCAATAACTCCATTCAAGCACATACTGAGTAGATTAATGTTCCCATGCATTTGTTTGTGTTGATACTGGCTTATCAGTGTCCTTAGCTCTTGATTTTTGTTCTCCACTACTTGAATGGCATTTTCCAATGGACTTACTTCAACCTATAAGACATACAAACATACTATCCACATTCTTATATTGTCATTTTTCTATTAAATTAATATATAAATAAAATATATAATTTTTTTATTAAGAATTTTGATTATAATAGCAAAATCTAATACAAACTAAACTTAAAGAAAGAGAAGAGAAAGAATAAAAAGTGCAAGGAAAAAGGGAAAAAAGAGAGAAAAGCAAGAATATAATAAAAAGGAGAAAAGAAATATGTAAAATGTGACTTCCAATGTTCAACAGAAGTATAAACAAATTTAGTGACCCTCTCTAAGGTTACAAGCAATTATCTCTTCATCCCATATCCCATCCCTTATCTATAGGCAAATCCATAAAACATCCATGGATTTGGAAGTCGCTCTTTGAGTGAGATGGGCAGTGACTAAATTTGAAATATAAATAAATAGAATAAAATCATCTTTTCAGTCCTAGTGTCAGCAGAAAGTCCATAAAGCATTTCCAGAAATAACAACGTATCTTGTTTTAGCCTTGATCAAATAAACCAACTTTACATTCCTTCCTTTTATTTCTAGCAGTCTTAAGCTTTAGTTCATTCAAATATTGTCGTAGAATTTGATTTCTCTTCATCTCTTCTTTATCCCATCACATCACAGTTCTTCAGGTCTTTAACAAGCCTCTTTTGTAAATCCAATAAGAAAAAATTATCCAGTCATTTTCTTGGTTTATAATTTGTATTTTCCCTTTGATTTTTAAAACATCAACCAGTTTCTTTTGTATATCCAGTGAGACATCCTTTTCCAAGTCGTTCTTTTGGCCTGTCATTTGTAAATCCACTTTTGGTACCATCTGTCTCTTGTCAGATAAAATGTGTTCCACATCCGTAATTTCTTCAATAACATCTTTTGGACATAGTCCATCCATAGAGGCAAACATCATGACTGACACTGTTGATATTGCGGTTACTAATTTCTGGCTCCATTCTTCAAAAGTCTCTAGTATTTTCAATGTTATAATGTTTTGCATCATTTTGTAGGTCCCAGTTAATTAACACAAAAGGTAAGCTTGTGCTTTTTTTCCTCTGCCTAGAATCTTTAGTCCAGTTTTTAAAATAATGAAATTACTTATCTATGTTGCCTTGCAAAAACCCAAACAGATCTATTTCACACAAAAAGTTGTTTGTTCTTTATAATTAATTCCAAAATCTTATACTCCAAATTTATCTGGACCCTTAGTCTGTTCATAACTTTCTAAGAGCAAGTTCTTACTTAGCTTTTTTGCTGTTTACTTCAAATTCTTTAAATTCTTATAGGGCTTATGATTAAAATTTTATTTCATTCAGGACTGAAGGCAAACTCACCCACCGTTTTCAAAGTTGTCATTCTGAAGGTCTCTAATAGCTTAAAAGTAGTTAATAAATAATTCCCAAAAGTGATTAGAAAGTGAGGTTAGCAAACTTAGTGTCCTTTAAAAGGTGCTGACTGTGGTTGCAAGCAAGATGGTTATTCCCATCTCCCAGTGCTTGTGATCTCCTTGTGGGGAGCAGCCATCTGAAGCACATGTGGACAATCTTGTGTCCTCTCCTTATCTGTTGCATTATAACACCCCATCACATGCTAGGCATTTCTGTTAGTACAGACTAGTAAAA